CTGGAACTAGAACCGGCATCCATATGGGATGCCAGCACTCAGGCCGGGGCGTTAACCCGATGCACCACAGTGCTGGCCCCCACTGTTTGTTTTTAATTCATAACATGAAAATGAAGAATCACGTCCACATAGAGATATACTTACTTTTAACTAATATAGATTTATTTTAATCTTTTACATCTATAATTAGTGATATTTTAAAGCAGTAATGGAGACTAACTTAGTCTATCATCATTTCATGGAGTAATTAGCATCATAATCACTACTTTTCTACTCTTCTCAAAAAAATTGACACTTTAATCAGAAGTTTATTTATTTGTGAAGATAGCCAGAAATGTGTAATTGGTATGTTCCTATGTTGACAGTTTATCTGTGGACTGATAAATCCAGACTAGCTACTTTTCTTTAGAATTTCTTTTGCTATCATTTGTTCCTGTATTTGTTGTAACATTTTTGAGCACAAGCTCATTTTTGCAAGCCAACTTGGATACTTTCTGAAATTATTCTGTGTCCCTAGATGTGATGGAAATGTATATATATTTTTAACGTGGTTGAAATCATATTCTATAAGCAATTTGATATTCTATTTTTGCTGTTATTTTAATTCCCCATCAGAAAAGTTATATATGTATTAAGTATAAAATTTTATGTTCATATCAGCACTCATATTTAAAGAGAGGTAGCTCCAATGTCTTGTCTTTTTTTTTTACAATTTATCTTATTTATTTGAAAGGTGGAATTAGAGAGTGAGAGAGTGAAACACAGAAGTGGGGAGAGATCTTCTATCTGCTGGTTCACTCCCCAAACGACTGCAACAGCTGGTCTGGACCAGGCTGAAGCCAGAATCCTCTATCTAGGTCTCCCCTGTGGGTTGCAGAGACCCTAGTACTTGGGCCTGCTTTCCAAGGAGCATTCACAGGGAGCTGGATTGGACGTGGAACAGCCAGCACTCTTAACCAGTGCTTATAAGGGATGCCGGCGTTGCATACCATGGCTTAACTAGCTGCACAACACCTGCCCCTCATTTCTTTATAGTCTAACAATTTACTTAATATTTCAGTTTTCTTTCTAAATGACATTATACCTTCTAATCTTATTCTAGCTACCCTATACATAACTACTTTATGTAGTTATTTTATTGAGGTAATAATTTATACCTGGGTTTCTCAAGGGAACCTCAGAAAAATTAGCCAAATGCACTGAAGACTTTTAAGGTATTTAATTGCTTTAAGGTTCAAATCTATATTCTCTGATACATTTTGTATGATATGCTTCTCATTTTAGTAGGACATTTTTATTTTCAGTAAAATTTCTCTGTTGCAAATCAAAAGAACATGTTTTAAAATGACACAGAAACTTAGCAGGCATATGGATGTTTTCCAGGCATCGGAATAAAGGTGAGACGTTGAAGGTTAGACAATGGTGGCTTTAAGGGAACAAGATTTCATGTCCTGTTGTTTTAAAATTTCTAAGGAAATGCAGAAAGAGGAAATGGTTTGGGCTCTATGATATCATTAGTGCTATTTTTATTCTCAGAGGTTCAAAGGTTTCAGGGATAAGAGAAAGATATGCAAAAATGAGGATATTCATCTTTCTTGACTTTTACTAGTATATGTTCAAAGTACCAATTTTTTAAAAGAGCACACTTAAAAAAAAAAAAAAACAACTTGTGTTACCAGTTGTGAAAAGGATGTACACATAGGTGGAAAAAATAAAATGATGCAGCATGTTAAAATAAATGAAAATGTTAAAGCAACCATTTGAAGCTACTAAAACTCAGATATTCTGCACTTGAAAATTTCATTACTCTGCTTTAAGGATTTGCTTGTTACCTGAAATTAATGCTTATCCCCGTGTCATTTAGACTGTGCTGGTCTAATTAGGTCCAGTTGTTCTGTGAAGTTTTACTTGGTGTCCTTGCACTTTCACACAACCGAAAATAACTTTCATGCATTAAGGAAAGACTTGATTTTTTAATCTTGCAAGTAGGAACTTAATTATGAAAGCCAGCAGCTTTATATTCAAGAGAATGCTTCCTTCTCCCCCTCAAGAGGGTTTTTTGTTTCACTGCAAAATTATATTAGAAGTGAGGGGTGATGGCTTTTTTACCACGATGATATGCAGAGAGGTTAAATTCTAGAATCAAACTGAGCAACTACTGTTATAATAATGCCAAGGGCTTGCCGTTTTCTGTGCCTCTGAAGAAGGAATAAAGGAAGAATTATTTTTGATCTGTAGTTTTGGTTGGCATAAACAGCATTGAGCTTATTGATCTGTTACAGCTTGTTGTGTAGCAACAAATAATCACTTTATTTTCCTAAATATATGGGAGTCTCCAGCTATTAGGTCGGAAAAGAGGAGCCTTATGTACTGGTTGTCTTTCTTATCAGCTCTGTTGGTGAATATTTACCTACTAGAATGAGGCAAGGACTGTACACAGTATGAATTAACAAGAAATTAAAGTACTTTGGAATCATGACTAAATGAAGTAGTGCTTTTTCATATCAAGAACAGAGTAGTGATTTTAGATGTATTGGGAGAATGAAGAATTCTCCCTATTGAAATTTAAAAAACAAAACAAATATTTCCAGCTACTAGCCTTACCTCCCTTTGGAGTCTGAACCAAATCATGGTTTACCTGAGTCAAGACATGGTTTACCTCCTTTTCCTGGACCCAGGCAAATGACCCCCAAGCTGAATTAGGCCAGGATATCATCTGTTTTAAATCTAGAGCTAGGATTTTCAAAATTAACATCCATCAATTTCTTTGAAAATATGATATCACTGGGATGCCTTTGTAACATGCTACCTCCTCCAGCTTCCAATAGGAGTGTTCAAAGGAAACCAGACTTACTATTTCCTTATTTTTCTGCCACTATTTACCTTAGTGGTTTCTAATACAAATCTTTGATTTTGAATCAGTCTGCTGGAGCATTTTTTCTGTTTGTTTAATTTTCTAGGGTAATATGCCATGTGACTTTATAGCAGATATTTTTTCTGAAATAATTACTACCAAGAGTTTTCTTTAAATTTACCTATTTTAATAAAAAGATGGGGCCAGAGACCAATGTTGTGGTGTAACAGGTGAAGCTGCCACCTGCAACACCTCCTATCCAGCTACCTGCTAATGCAGGAGAAGATGGCCCAAATACCTGGGCCTCTGCCACTCGTATGAGAGAGGCCTTGATGAAGATCCAGGCTCCTGACTTTAATCTTAGCCCGAGTCATTGCAGCCCTTTGGGGAGTGAACCAGGAGTGGAAGCTCTCACTGTCTCTCCCTCTCTCTAACTCTGCCTTTCAAATAAATAAGTAAATCAAAAAAAGATTTTATATGTATGTGTATGTTCAAATATCTATGTCTGCATACATACATTCTATGTATATACACTTAATTTCTGAAACAATTTGATCATCAAATGACCCACAAACACTTATTTTTACTTTGTCCTATTTTTCTTGCAGAGCAGTCAATACATTTTAGCACAGCCCTGAATGGGAATGAGCTTATCCCCACTATGCACCATCTCACCAAACCCTGATGATGGTGGTGAGCTTGATCTTGGCTGTTATACTTTTTTGACAGCACAGAATCATACTGATGATGATATTTGTATAGAATTTGAGAGTCATAATTGAAAGATTAAATAAAATTAATAAAAGAGGTAGTCCAAATTTTGATAAGGTGTCAAAGTCAGCCCTTTAAGGCTATGAGAATTTTTTGAGTTTAAATGTTATTACTCTTTATTGCCTTTATGTTTCAGTGCAAGCCCATTCATATATCATAAGTCAGTATTTTGTTGATTAAGCAAACAAAAAAAGTACGCTGAAATAATTAAGGCACTCCAGCTCCTGACTCCAACTTCCTGCTAATGCAGATTCTTGGAGGCAGTGGCAATGGATCATTCAAATAGTTGGGTTCTTGCTACCCATGTGGGAGACCTAGATTGAGTGCTCTCCTGCAGGCTTTGGCCTGGCTCAGTCCTGGCTGTTGTGGGCATTTGAAGAGGAACTGGTAGATGTGAGCTCTGTTCATCTGCCTCTCAAATAAATAAATAAATAAATAAAAATTTTTTAAAGAGCTTGGAGTGAGCATCAAAGAATTTATGGAAGACTTTAAAGTTTTAGATGAAAGTAACTGTAAATGTTTAACTTTTCTTTGATATAAATGACACAAAATGTATGTGAAACTGGTAACAAAAAACAAACCATCCTCATGGTAGCACATGTAAGAAAAAAATTGTTCATACTGTATGGCACCAAATTTTTACAGTAGATAGACTTCTGTATACCATGACTATTGATAGTTTGCTTAGATCTTTACTCTATTTTAGTGCTAGCACATTGTGTGTGCACTTTTAAAAATGCCTTGGTAAGTGCCATGCTATTGTTTCTGAATTCCTGTACCTCATTTGATGACTGGCCTCCTTGGTCTCCTCCGTTATAAGACTCACTGTGATGGTCTCTATCCTGGCTTTTCAGGAGACCGCATCAACTACAAGAAAATGCACATTCTTGATAAGCATCTTTGAGCCACTTGATTTAAACTCCATTAAAGAAAGGTGGAGTTCACTGCTATATGAACATTTTAAGTAGGAGGGAAATGTCAAATAAAAGGAAAAGGTTAGGAAAAACCCTCATTCCTACTCTATCATTTGAATTAGTAATAAGAGGAAACCTCAAAAGACCAAAAGAAGTTTTCTGAAGATTTTAATGATCCCTTATATTGTCTGTGACTTGCATTGGCCAAATCTGAAGGCAGCAGTTTTGAGATAAGTAATGTGTTGGGCAGAAAATTGTATACAAACTGTAAAAACAGTACCACACCACTGAAAAACAGGATGACAAGGCCCTTTCTTTCGTTGTATCATAGATGTTTCCCAGTTGTTACAAGGCTTGACATATTCAGAGAAAGGTGACTTCATTAAACTAGATAAGCTTCCATCTGTGTCTTAAAAATTAATTCCGTGTGTTCTTTTGTGGGTACTGCGAATTGCTTTTAGGATATGACTGCACGTGATCTGCTACAACAGAGATACACTCTTCCAAATGGAGACACCGCCTGGCGGTCTTCCCCTCTTGTGAATGCAGCCCTGGAAGGCAAGCTGGTCTTGTTGGATGGCATTCACCGGGTCAACACCGGCACACTTGCTGTATTGCAGAGGTTTGTATGAGTCACACAAAACAAAATACACATCCACATTCAATACACACAAACAAGCAGTAGACATGGAAGTCTTTCAGTTCTGTTTTAAAAACTGAATTATGAGGATTATGAGAAATTCCTGATTCTATATCCAAGTAAAATGGCAGACTTTTATTATTATAAACACATACTGTAAAATGCCAATTGATGAACATTTGGAGGAAAGCCACTGGTATAGCAAAACTTTGTAATAGCTGAAAAAAGAAAACTTTTCCATAGTAATTTTGAAAGGCTTTACATATACAGATTTAAATCAGCAAAAAGTCTCATAGCTGAAGTTTCTCCAGTTTGTCAGGATTGTAGCTTCACTGTTCAGAAATTGACTCTGAATCACGTCTGCTTTATTGGTTGATCTTGTTAAAATTGGGAGGAGGGGACCCGCACCATGGTGTAGCAGGTAAAGCCGCCACCTGTAGTGCCAGCATCCCATATCGGTGCTGGTTCAAGTCCTGGCTGCTCCACTTCCGATCCAGCTTTCTGCTATGACCTGAGAAAGCAGTAGAAGATGGCCCATGTCTTTCGGCCCCTGTTACTAAATGGGAGGCGCAGAAGAGTCTCCTGGCTCCTGGCTTCGGATCAGCGCAGCTCCGGCCATTGTGGCCATCTGGGGAGTGAACCAGTGGATAGAAGACCTCTCTCTCTCTCTCTCTCTTTTTTTCTCTCTCTCTGCTTCTACCTCTCTGTAACTCTACCTTTCAAATAAATAAATAAATCTTTATAAAAAAATGGGGATGGAGAGAAATGTACTTTTTATATAATATATGTAATAGCTGTTTGATTACATATTATATATATATATATTAAGATTGTATTTATTTGAGAAGTAGAATTACAGAGAGAGGGAGAGACAGAAAGAAAGGTCTTCCATCCTCTGTTTCACTACCCAAATGCCACAACAGATGGAGCTGGACCTATCCAAAGCCAGGTACTTCTGGATCCCTTGCTCGGGTACAGGGGCCCAAACACTTGGGCCATCTTCTGCCTTCCCAGGCCATAGCAGAGAGCTGGACCTGAACAGGAGCAGCCAGGACCAGAATCAGTGCCCACAGGGGATGCCAGCACTGCAGGCAGAAGCTTAGCCCAGTACGTTACAGCATTGGCCTCTTGATTATATTTTATATGGACTAAAATGCTTACTTTGTTGTTAGAGACTTGAACATTTATATAACTGTTGTTTTCTTGTTTCAGTTTAGGTAAAAATAGCCTCACATTCCTAAAACTTCTCTAGAATTTAATGTTGAGATAAGATTCTGAATGCTTTACTTTCATGGAAAGTATTTCTATCTTGTATCATTTTAGGAGATTACGTATACTGATTTTAAATTTCATCTTGTAGATGTATGATTTTTAATTCTGAATTATTAAGAAAAGTCAAAAAGTAGAATATACCTTTAACTTAACCATTTGGTTTTTATCCTTAACAAGATGCAAGTACTAAATATAATTGAAGACTTCAAATACATTGTGTTGATACTGATTAGATTTGAAAGTATTTGAAAATTTTGATGGCTACGTTTCAGTGATTTACCATAAACATTTCATAGATTTTAAATGCTTTTCTCTCTGAGCCAAACAAATACAGATTCCATAAAATAATGCCAGTCTACTTTAATTGACTTTCTCTTTCATGTTTGGCCAAGTAGTAATAGTAACAGCTGCAGCTACCATTAATTGAATACTTAACTCTGTGCCGGCCATTGTGTTAAGCCAGTCCTTCCCCGGTTCTCAACCCTAGAATTACCTTGTGTTCTGAGAACTTCAAAATACTGACGCTTGGACTCCATCATCAGGAATTCTGATGCAGTTGGTCCAACCTGAGGTCTGACCATTGATATTTTTAAGTACTTCCCAGAAGACTCTAACGTACAGTCAAGATTGAGAACAACTATATCAAGCATGTATTTTAAACTCATATGAGGTGTTTAATTTTGCAGCAACACTTTGAGGCTGGTATTATTGCCTTAATTTTATAAAAGGCAAATGTTTAGAGAGATGGAATATTTCTCTTCTCTCCCTACTCATCACTTCAGACATAGACCTGTGCTTGAAGCCACCTGTAAGTCTGATATTGCACCGCTCATACCCCTAACCTTTACCTAATAGAGTCTCCTCTTTTCTCAGTGCCTACAGAATGGAGATTGTGGGTCACAACTCTATCATGGGCATCAGGAAACTTAGTGGTTAATATAAGATGTAGAACTGTGCTTCTTTTTTATTTATTTGTTTTTGACAGGCAGAGTGGACAGTGAGAGAGAGAGAGACAGAGAGAAAGGTCTTCCTTTTCCGTTGGTTCACCTCCCAATGGCCGCTGCGGCCGGCGTACTGCGGCCGGTGCACCGCGCTGATCCAAAGCCAGGAGCCAGGTGCCTCTCCCAGTCTCCCAAGCAGGTGCAGGGCCCAAGGATTTGGGCCATCCTCCACTGCACTCCCAGGCCACAGCAGAGAGCTGGCCTGGAAGAGGAGCATCCGGGACAGAATCCAGCGCTCCGACCGGGACTAGAACCCTGGGGTGCCAGCGCCACAGGCGGAGGATTAGCCTATTTAGCCATGGTGCCAGCCTGAACAGTGCTTTTTTAAAGACAAAATTATTTATTTATTTGAGAGGCAGAGTTACAGACAGAGAGGTAGAGACAGAGAAAGAGGTCTTCCATCCATTGGTTCACTCCCCAAATGGCCGCAATGGCCGGAGCTGAGCCAATTCAAAGCCAGGAATCAGGAGCTTCCTCCAGGTTTCCCATGTCAGTGCAGGGGTCCAAGCACTTGGGCCATCTTCTGCTTTCCCAGGCCATTAACAGAGAGCTGGATTGGAAGAGGTGTAACTAGGACTTGAACCAGTGCCCACACAGGATGCTGACATCACAGACCGTGCCACAGCACCAGCCTCTAGAGCAGTGCTTGTCAGCCAGTGCAGCATTGAAGACAATGCCGTTTGTGGTTTGATTAGATCACCATCTGTGTTGGAATGTGCAATAGCAATGTAGTTATTTCATTATGGAGATTTTTTATATTTTAGGTCTATAATTCTAAAGATAGAAATATTTTGATAATCTCATCACTTAAAGAGTTACATTTGACTCAAGGGAGTGTGTGCCAAACTGGCTTGTCATCAGTACTCATGTGCCTCTCATGGTTATCCAGAGACACTCATTCAGATGTTTCTTTTCCTCTCCTTCTTCCTGCTCCCTATCCATATTTAGCATTCATGGCTTCTTCCCTCCATTGAATAATCCAGTGGTTTTTCTGAGTGTAACAGGAATGAGCAACTTGAAATTTTGAAATATTTATCTAAGAAATTTTTAGACTTGATTGCCAGAAATAACAGACAAAATTAGTACGTTGACTGATTCTGCCTCTAATGATGTCAGTGTTTGAAGCTGATCGATCCTGTTGCCTGACTTTCTCTTATTTGATTAGGTTAATCCATGATCGAGAGCTAAGCCTCTATGATGGCTCGAGGCTGCTGAGAGAAGACAGGTATAAGCGTTTAAAAGAGGAGCTACAAATGTCAGATGAGCAGTTACAGATGAGGTAATTTGGGGGTACATTGTTCTTTTTGTTAAGTTAAAATTAATATTGTTCATTATTTTCTAAGTTAGTATCAACCTAGAATCACTGAAGAGCTCAATCATTTGGTGTCCTGCACATGCTAATAGTGTCCTTCTTTCTTAAAACTTGCTGCTCAAGGTGTGCTCTGTGTCCTTAGCCTAAGTAATTGTTTCAACCTTTTATGAAAACATGGTGGTAAGAAGGCAGTCCCTCCTCTGTTGCTACTACCCATCCAATTTTGGCCTCATACTTTGGCTTCACTCAGCAAAACAATAGCTGGACCCACAATTAATGATGTCTGCCTTCCTAAGTAGTCATCAGTTGTTCCTGGGGTATGCCACCTGATGCAGGATAAAGCATTCTGGCTGATTTAAGCATTCCTTCCAGAGATGGTACAACCAAATGCAATGTGTGATACTTGATGGGATCCTGGAGCAGAGAACAAAATGAAACCAGCTACAGAAAACAATTAGAAAAGTTTTAAAATGGGCTATATATGAAGGAGCTTCAAAAACTTTGTAGAAATGAAATTAGAAGATAATCAGCATTTTCCATCAACTTTGTGTCAGTCCCTTGTATATTGCATGCTGTTGTTGAACTAGTATTAATTTTCTGATGTATCTTAATGGTATTGTGGTTATAAAGGAGAATATTTCTATTCTTAGGAGATGCTTATATAGTAACAGGATAAAATTTAAATAAAAATATTTTCAAATGATTCAGGGGAAAAATATGGGTATGTGTGCATGTAAACACATACCACACAGAGAGGAGGAGAGATGGATCAAGCAAGAGTGAGAAGGCAAATATGGTAAAATCTTCATCACTGACAAAATCTACGTGGAGGAAATATGGGTGTTTGTATTTTATTCTTTTAAATTGTCTATGCATTTGAAAAAATTCAACATAAAAAGTTCAAAAGAAAATTACTTCCTTCAGCTGTACCTTGTCCTTTCCCTCAGAGGAAGTTTGGCGCATGTGAGTGGTTTTCAGCTTATTACAGTTCCGTGGATATTTTCACATAATTTCAAGTTGCTATATTGAGGCTCCTTGTTACCTAATCTGACCTTATTTAATTGAGATTTCTCTCCCCAAAGGGCTCGCTACCATATTTAAAACATGAAGATTCTACAAAGATAATTAGACATATTTATTATTGTATGTAAGTTCCAGCAAACTTTTGTTTTAAGATTCTTTTTCTTAGAAGGGGAAATGCTAAAGTTCCCATTAGCACTGTATAAGTTATTAAAAAATTCACTTATTACTTATCTGCTTATGAATCTGAAGTGTACATTATCAAATTTTTCTACCTCAGTTTGGTTTGATAGAGTTCTTAGAGGAGCAAAGTTATAAAGATCTCTCTCATTTTCTACCTTAAGTTTATAAAATTTAGCTGTTATACATTATTTGTGAATCACCAGAGAAAAAAAGAATATAGTTTCTTTTCTTTTTTTAAAATTAATTTATTTGAGAGGTAGAGTTTCAGACAGAGAGGGAGACACAGATGTAAAGGTCTTCCATCTGCTTGTTCACTCTCCAAGGGCCTCAAGGGCTGGAGCTGAGCCGATCTGAAGCCAGGAGCCAGGAGCTTCTTCTGGCTCTCCCCTATGGGTGACGGGGTCCAAGCACTTGGGCCATCCTCTACTGGTTTCCCAGGCCATAGCAGAGAGTAGGATCGGAAGTGGAGCAGCTGGAACTCTCTGCAGATGGAGGATTAGCCCACTATGCCACAAGTGCCAGCCCCAAGAGTCTATATTTTCATAGATGCATCAAGTCAATTGGGCGCTAGCTCACAGCAATCCTGCCTGGCAGTTTCCTTTAGGATATCAGGAATATTGGACTTGTTGCCAAATATCTAGGAAGTGATAATCCTTTTCTGTAAAAATACCCACGTTCTCCCTCATTGACATTAGTAGTTTACAAATGAAAACATTTTTAGGAACAGAGCAGCCATGAGATCATGTTCAGGGTGTGGCTCAGCATGGTTAGTGGTGCTTCTCAGTTTCCCTCACACCTCCCTCACAACTGATTTGGGTCTCCCTCATGCGTAAAAACCGAGCTTGACTCTATCTTCAGAGGTCTGTATGAGAAGGTTGAGAGAGGTCATAGCAAGCTTGCTTCCTTCATTTATCTTTAAAATTTTTGTTTCCATTTTTATCAATATTAGACATACATGAAATTTGAGCCAGTTTTCCATAGCATTTTTTTTATTTTTTTTTTAACTTTTATTTAATGAATATAAATTTCCAAAGTACCACTTATGGATTACAATGGCTTCCCCCCCATACCGTCCCTCCCACCCACAACCCTCCCCTTTCCCACTCCCTCTCCCCTTCCATTCACATCAAGATTCATTTTCGATTATCTTAATATACAGAAGATCAGCTTAGTATACATTAAGTAAGGATTTCAACAGTTTGCTCCCACACAGAAACATAAAGTGAAAAATAATAGATGATTTTTTTAAATGATGATAAAATCAGATCAGACCTATTGTCATGTTTAATCCCAGTGAGAGTCAAGTTGGGAGTTGATAATTTCTTTTTTTTTTTTTTTTACAGAAGATCAGTTTAGTATGCATTAAGTAAAGATTTCAACAGTTTGCACCCCCATAGAAACACAAAGTGAAATATATTGTTTGAGTACTCATTATAGCATTAAATCTCAATGTACAGCACATTAAGGACAGAGATCCTACATGAGGAGTAAGTACACAGGGACTCCTGTTGTTGACTTTACCAATTGACACTCCTGTCTATGGCATCAGTAATCTCCCTATGCTCCAGTCATGAGTTTCCAAGGCTATGGAAGCCCTCTGAGTTCTCCGATTCTTATCTTGTTTAGACAAGGTCATAGTCAAAGTGGAGGTTCTCTCCTCCCTTCAGAGAAAGGTACCTCCTTCTTTGAAGACTTGTTCTTTCCACTGGGATCTCACTCACAGAGATCTTTTTGCCGGAGTGTCTTGGCTTTCCATGCCTGAAATACTCTCATGGGCTTTTCAGCCAGATCTGAATGCCTTTAGGGCTGATTATGAGGCCAGAGTGCTATTTAGGACATCTGCCATTCTATGAGTCTGCTGAGTATCTCGCTTCCCATGTTGGATCACTCTCCCCTTTATTTATTCTATCGGTTAGTGTTAGCAGGTACTAGACTTGTTTATGTGCTCCCTTTGACTCTTAGTCCTTTCATTATTATCAATTGTGAACTGAAATTGTTCACTTGGAATAGTGAGATGGCATTGGTACATGCCACCTTGATGGGATTGAATTGGAATCCCCTGTTATGTTTCTAACTCTACCATTTGGGGCAAGTCAGCTTGAGCATGTCCCAAATTATACATCTCTTCCCTCTCTTATTCCCACTCTTATGTTTAACAGGGATCACATTTCAGTTAAATTTCAACACTTAAGATTAACTGTGTGATAATTACAGAATTAAACCAGTCATATTAAGTAGAACAGACAAAAAAAAATACTAAGAGGGATAATGTATTAAGTTCATTAACAGTCAGGGCTATGCTGATCAAGTCACCGTTTCTCATAGTGTCCATTTCACTTCAGGAGGTTTCCTTTTTGGTGTTCAGTCAGTTGTCACCGATCAGGGAGAACATATGGTATTTGTCCCTTTGGGACTGGCTTACTTCACTCAGCATGATGTGTTCCAGATTCCTCCATTTTGTTGCAAATGACTGGATTTCGTTGTTTCTTACTCATAGCATTTTATGAAAATATACCCTTTCCCTGTTACTGGTTCCATGACAGTCTCGCCTTCCCTACTTCTCATCCCAAAGAGGTGAGACATTCTCAACTGTTCCTTTTACTGTTTACCTGTACATCACTAAAGAACATGCTGTCATTACTATTTATTGATTTATTTTTCAACTTTAAGAATTTTCTATTGATTTCTTACATGAAAAATTAAGGCTTAGCTGTTTCACCTCCTCTCTTCTTACCACACACACATACTTCCATCTTGCATTCTTCTTAAAGAGTTACATAATAATTTTGCTCAGAACTTTATCCAGTGTTTTCATTGTTATGTTAGCACGAAGACTATATACATAGCCATGCCATTTAATCTGCCGTATATCTTGTTTTTCTTTTTTTTTGACAGGCAGAGTGGACAGTGAGAGAGAGAGACAGAGAGAAAGGTCTTCCTTTGCTGTTGGTTCACCTCCCAATGGCCGGCACGGCCGGCACAGCCGGCGCACCGCGCTGATCCGATGGCAGGAGCCAGGTACTTCTCCTGGTCTCCCATGGGGTGCAGGGCCCAAGTACTTGAGCCATCCTCCACTGCACTCCCAGGCCAAAGCAGAGAGCTGGCCTGGAAGAGGGGCAACCGGGACAGAATCCGGCGCCCCGACCAGGTCTAGAATCCGGTGTGCCGGCGCCGCAAGGCGGAGGATTAGCCTAGTGAGCCACGGCGCCGGCCTTGTTTTTCTTTTTTTTTTTATTTTTTATTTTTTTTATTTTTTATTTTTTTGACAGGCAGAGTGGATAGTGAGAGAGACAGACAGAGTAAGGTCTTCCTTTGCCGTTGGTTCACCCTCCAATGGCCGCCGCTGCAGCCGGCGCACCGCGCTGATCCGAAGGCAGGAGCCAGGATCCAGGTGCTTTTCCTGGTCTCCCATGGGGTGCAGGGCCCAAGCACCTGGGCCATCCTCCACTGCACTCCCTGGCCATAGCAGAGAGCTGGCCTGGAAGAGGGGCAACCGGGACAGAATCCGGCGCCCCGACCGGGACTAGAACCCGGTGTGCCGGCGCCGCAAGGTGGAGGATTAGCCTAGTGAGCCACGGCGCCGGCCCGGCCTTGTTTTTCTTAAAGTTAACAATTACCTACACTTGAAGAGAGATAGTATGAATAATAATTAAAATACAGTTAGAGTAGTGGTCTGTACAACAATGCTATGGGAACACTAAAGAGGAAGTGGCTCTATTTGATATATATATCACTTTTCCATCCCAGACACTGTCCCTGTTTTC